AATTATTTTGCAGGAGGCGGATTTTTAGGGTACGGTAATTAATATTTATTTATTATAAATAAAGGAAAGAGTTAGTAAGGAGTAAATTAAATTCGAATTTATTAATTACCTATCCTATTACTTTTATTTTTAATAATATCGCTTTTCCTTTAACATTTATACTAAGTAAGTAAATTATAAAGGTCGCTTATTCTATTAATTTTATTAATTTACTATTAATTCCTTTTACCCTTATAAAGAATTTAATAAATATTTTATAATCGAAGGTATTAAGGAAATTACGTCCAATAATTATTTTACTAGCGCTTAAGTCTATATAAATTTTTATAAATATTATTTCGGAAGTAGCTTATATAAAAATTCGGAGGTGGGTAAACCCCGAGAGTAGGCCCCGCCGGGAATATTCGTCCATTTAAGGAATAGCGTTTTAAATAGGTAGAATAGTAATTAAATACGTTATATTTTAATTATCGAGGATCTTTAAATTTCCTTTATAGGAGTTAATATATTTAAATAATTAATTCTAGGAGGGGAACTCTCGATTATACTTCTAATATTTATAAAAATCGGAACCGAGAGAGACGGTAGGAATTTTATTATTTTTAATAGTAATAATAGCATAGTATTTGTTTATATATTACTACTTTATTATTATTAAATTAAATTTTTTTAAATATTTAGAATAAATTAATTAATTATTATATATATAATAAACCGAAGTATTTAAACTATATCCCTCTAAATTATTTATAAAGTTAATATGGTTTAAATTTATAGTAGCGTCCTCTTTAATATAATTAGTACGGTTTCTACTAGCGTTGCGGCTACGGTCGCGGGTATTATTATAATTTTAGGTACGGCCGGTATTCTAATTATCCGATTGGTTATAAGTACAATTATTATTATAATTATAATTACAGTTATCATTGCAATTATAATTACAATTATTATTTCGGTTGCGGTTATAATTATTAATATTATTATAGTTATTATTATAATTGTAATTTTAATTGCAATTATTGCTTCGGTTGTAATTATAATAATAATTGCGGTTACAATTATAATTAAACAATTAATTAGACGATTTACTTTACTCTTATCGCCCGTAATTAGTATATTTATTTGTAGTAATAGCGAATAGTATTATTTTACTCTTTTTAATTTCTTTAAAATAAATTTTAATTTTATTAAAAGAAGGGGGAGAATATAGGATAATTTTAATATTAATACTTATATTATTCTAAATTTAAATTATAATATTATATTAATTATTTTTATTTTTAGAAAGAATTCCTATAACCCGAGTTAGACGAAGCTGCTTTAATACGTATATTGATATTGCGTTTTTATTTTTATAAATATTATAGAACAATAATTTACTTTTATTAAATTTCTTTATTACGGTAATTAAATTAGGTATAAATCTCTTTACTAAAATTTTAATAAAATCGTTTATAGATTTATAATAATACTATCTTTTAGTAGGGTCTAATTGGTTGTATTATTATATATAGGCTGTTCCTTGTAGGAAGGTAGGCTATATACGGATTAGCTATTTTTTAATAGAGTTAGTATAATTATTTTTTAATAGTATATTAAGGCGGTCGGCGAATATAGTAACATTAATATAAATAATATTACTACTATTTTCAATTATTCTTACATTTTCGGAATTGTTAGTAAATAGGTTGAAGGTTCTAATATTATTATATTTTAGTTTAGGCTTATTATTAGGGTTACTATAAATTTAGTAAATAGTAGGAATGCGATAGGGGTTGTAAATATTGAAGTATTCGAAAGGAAAGTCCTATTTATTGTTCTTGCCTTCGTTATTACTATTATTCTTATTATTAGGGTTACCGGGGGTAGCGGCGATTGGCCGGATTCTAGGAGTTAAAGGAGGACTACTACTTCTAGCTTTATTAGTAAGTATAGTAATTCCTTTTGTAGTAGCGTAGGCAACCTTATTAATAGCTTTAATAATTTTAATTAGGGAGGAGGAATTAACTTTGTTAATATTTTTTATAGTAGTGCGTTTAGTAATTATTTTAATAATTTCGTTATAGGATAGGTCTAGAAAGGCTACTATATACGTATTTCTCGTATATAAATCCCGGATTTTTTATAGATATTTAATATATATTTTAGCCTACCTTTCTATTAAGCGGCGTAAATTATTGTTATAATTATAGAGATTGTTAATTTATTCTATAAAATTCTATACGGTAAGTTCCTTATTATTATTTATTATTTTAGTAAGGCGCGGATTATAATATAGGCGAATATACGGGCGGATTAATAGGCTATTATTATATATAGTAGGGTTTTAAGGTACGGGGATATATTTACGGATTTTAGGGTCCTTATATATATAAGGGAGGACTTCAATAGGCGGGACATCTCTATTAAAACTCTCTATAGTAGGGATATTATATTTGGGAGTAGTATTTCCGTTATTATAATTAACGGGTTCGTTAGTAGGGCGATAAATAATTATAATATTCGATTCTTCGGACTATATATTAGGGAAATATCCTAATATTTTAATAATTCTACCTTTTCTTTTATTAAGTAGGGTAGGATTAATATTTTTAATAAAAGTTAGAGAGGTAATAGCCTTTATAATTTTTTTATAATTAATTAAAATATCGGATTCGAATTTAATAATAGTAATAGTAAATTTATTAATACAATCGCTTTATACGTAGGCATTTCTAATATAAATTATAAATTATTTATATATTTTAATTTTAAATTACTTTATATTTTTATTAATACCCTTAATTATTATATCTATATTATTAAACTATTTCTAAAACTTCTTATTAATTATATAGTTAAGGATATTACTATAGGAAGTATCGTTATTAGAATCCTCTTCCTAGCCGGCAATTATAATATTATAGTTATTATATTATAATTTACGCTTTTAAAGCGAGGTTTATCGCAATACGAAGGCTTCGGGTAGATTAATTGTAGAGGATTATTATAATTTAAATAATAATAAAGTATTAGTTATTGAAGAGATTAAATTATTAACGAAGCTGGATTTAGATTAGTTAATAGTTATAGGGTTAGAAGGACTAATTTAAATTTGGGTTATATTATAGGTCGGAATATTATTAATATAAAATTAAGGGAAGATTGAAGATTAATTGTTTAAACAATTAATATTATAGGTAGAAGGTGTAAATAGTTTATAAAACGAATAATATAAAGTTATTTACTCTAGGGGGTTTTTATTAACTATAAGGTTTAAAATAATAGTTATTAAAAAGGTTAGTATAAATTCACTTATTTATAATTATAATATTAGAAGGTAATAGGATTAGAATAATAATAGAAGAGATAAATAAAAGTATTTAATTTCGTTAATACTATTATTATAACGAGCGACTAATAAATTCGAGAAGCTTTTTTATTAGTACTATTTTTACAATAAATAATTAATAAATTAGTAAAAAGGGGGGAGGAAAATAATAGTTGTCTTTCAATAAAATAATTATAAGTTACCCTTTATATTAAAGATTAAATAAAGTTTAAATTAAAGGGTATAGAGGTTTTAATATATTCGTTCGATACGAATCGACGTAAGTACAATATTATAGTGTAAGAAGCGCGCGATACTATCTTTATAACGAGTAATTATGTATTTAAGAGATTATAATTGTAGGGTCGGCGTTTTACGATAATCGATTTTACAATTAGGTTGGTAAGTTTGTAATAATAAGGTTAGCGAATTTACTAGAAGATGGGTGTAAGGAGTATATTGTTCGTAATAGGTTACTACAATTATTTAATTGCAGTTACTATTTAATAGGGTAATACGGGTGTTTTTAAATATTATAATATTAGTATATATTATAATATTAAAGAAGAAGAAAATAATAGAGGAAGAAAGGCGTGGCCGAAGGCCGCCCCGTATAGGAATCCCTTTATAGGAATTCTTTATTTTATTGCTAGTCTATAGCTAATCTATAGGTCTAGCGACTGGGCGAGTAAGGTACGTGCCAAGGCACGTGCTAGGGCACGCCTGTGCCTCCATCGGGGGTGGGTATGGCCAGAGCTATGCCTAGTCTACTCTAGTCAATTAAAATAGTCATACATGCGATGCTTCCCGCATCAAACTGTTAAACAGGGACAGGTGCTTTGTACCTCTATGGACCCACACCAATTATGTACATCCCGGTTGTTGGTCCCTGAAAAGCGCTTCCCTCTCGACCTTGATGGAGAGTCGAGACCTGAGCCCGGCTCGCTTTTGGAAACTGACGGGAAATACAAAGTCATGAAATCATGGTAGGTACACTCTTGAACAATGCCACCCAACAGGTCACCTTCCTTATGGGGGTCGGCATAATGCAGCCTTGCTAGGCTGGGAACGGCCATTTCCGATGTACTTGGTGGACTTGTGATGGCTGGGTCCTCCAGTCGGGTAGGCACCCACCTAGAGGCAGTCGCGTGGTCCCTGTTTGCAACGGACCTTGTTCTCCTTCTTTTCCGAAGCCAAAGGCGACCCATCGTCGGACAGACGGGAACTTCATGTTCGTACTGGCGCTGGCTACGCCGAATCCGCTCCGAAAGTCCGAGCTACATCCTGAGATACATCATACCTACCCTCTCGACTTGGCTGGTAGGGATGGATTCATGGTGCTCTCAATCCTTTGTCAAACTGCATGCAACATTGGCATTCGTGTCCAGAACGACTAGGGTTGCCTGCCTAGAGGTACCTACGCAGACTCGGGGTAGTAACTGAGATCGACAGTGTAGTGCACTCCTTCCTTTCTTCACATACCTGACCTTACCAAGTCAACAGGCTCCTTGGAAAAATGAATGTGGATTTTCAAAAACTTCAGTGTTTACAACACAGTTTACAGCCAAGGCATTTTTGAATTCATTGGGATTGACGCAATATGCTGAGTTCGATAGAGTACCCCTACAACATATAACACGTTCGAATAACTGTCCCCCACCTCTCCTGTCCATTCAGCAACTATTTACCTCTACTTACATACATTCTTCCCTGCAGCCCGCTGAAACCCTTCCACGGTAGCCAAAACTCTTTGATGATTGAATGCCGCCCTCTCACTGCGCGTCATCTCTTCTTCTGGTTTTCCGACTAACATACCATACTGATCCACCTTTTGGATAAACTTGCTCACCCAGTCGTCGGAACTGCTCAGACCAAGAGCTTTTGGTATATTCTCCCTGTTCTTGGGGTCCGTCAAAGTTGCCTGTACATCAACAACCTTGCGGACGTCATTGAACTCATCAATGCTGACTAGCTTGCTTTTGATCTCAATCCCAGGGAGGTCTTTCACCAGTTCTTCACCTAGGTATTCCACCTGGCTAAATTCAGCTCGTCGAATAAACGTGGCTCTTTCGCTGGCAAGGCGTATGCCTTCGAGTTCGGCCGCGATCTTAGAGTCCCCGCTGTATCCAAAAGGGTCAGCAAAACTTCCATCGTGTCTGCTATGTGACTGGGAATAATAGAGGTAGGTATGTCTAGAGGTACTTACAGTGCTCCTCGAGCTTCCTTGACCATGTCTGACCAGCCTTTGAGCACGGTATGATACTCGGGTCCTTTGCCACGAACTTCTGAAAGAGTGCCTGTTGCAAGTTGTAACTTCACGAATTTCGACCCTGGGATTTCCCACAATTTTTGGGCCGTTTTAGTCAGATCTGTCGGATCCAGGTCTGGGATGTTCTGAGGGCCGATTTTGTTGTTGCGTAGCCAAGCCAGGGTAAACTCTTTCCAATCCATCTGACCTTCGGCGAGGCTTCCTTTATGTCCTTTCTGGCCATAAGATTGCTTGAAGAGAGTTTTGTCTTTTTCGGGGTCGAGCTGACGATAAATAATCCCCTGGCCTGCGCCGCGATACTTCCAGGCAGTGTTATAAACGTGGTAGCCGAAAATCAGCTCGTAGGCAGCTGCAGGACTCTTACTTGCTACAAGACTAGCCCACGTCGCAATGAGCACGATCCAGGTCCATGCTGAGCGTGCCAGCATCGTGATGGTGTGGTTGGCCTGGCGGTGGGTGGTCTGGAGGTGAATGAAGAGTTGTGCGTGAGATAGCGAGAGAAGATGAGAACTGATACGATGAAAGAAATGTATCAACCGGGCATGTAGATAGGTACGGTACAAGGTATGCCTTGGCCCTCGGCAAAACAGAGGGGAAAGAGCTTGCTTAAAGTATAATTCCATGAGCATACAAAAGTGTCCAGGCACCTATCATCTCAACGAAGTACCTAAGTATTATCTTGAATCCAACCTCAACCTACCTCTACCTCTCCCTGGAGGTACCACCATGCAGGTTGAACGTGCTACATAGAGGTATGTAATACTTGCCCGGATCCATACAATGTACCTCTACCTACCTCTATCTTACCTCCATCTTCATGACATATTGACAGGTACGAATAGACCGGCATGTCACATCTTCTCGTTCTAAAGACACAAAATACCTCTATGTAGGTACCGACCTTGTAGGTAAGGTACCTACCTCTAGGGTTAGCGAAGATTCGGGTCGCCAGGTTTACGAGCATCAGCAGGTACCTCCCAGTGCTTCAGGCGTCCGCAGTCTTCGAACGATACAACCTAGATCCTAGTGCGAGATTCCAACCCATGTCAACTCCAGGTAATGTTCACACGTGATAGCCCATCAACTGTGTCACTCATTTGATGTCAAACTCCAGTGGGTTTGATTCGTTCGGCTGTCTTGTAGTTGTTCGCCTCTAGGTACCTCTAGAGGTACCTAATCATACGATCACCTACCACTGCCTCTAGGTAGGTAGGTACCTTGTACCTAGTTTTCAGAGGTATATGTACTAGACAGGCAGGTACCAGATATCATTCAAGTCCGAGTCTCGTCTAGCAAAGGTCGTATTGACACTAGGGTACCTCTAGGAATAAATTTCGGCTTTTTGGTGGGTCGTGGTTACCCTACCTTTTGGGGCTTGTTCCTACCTCGACATAACCCAGACGTACGTAATGGATGCAATACTACCTACCAGGTACCTAGGTACCTACCTCTACCTCTACCTAGTGTAGTACCGACCGGAACGTAGGAAACCTTTCAAGCATTCAAAGTGGGTACATACCAGACCTCTACCTTAGAGGTACCTAGGTACTTGGGTGGCACCAAACTTGAGAATCTTCTTACCGATTGTTTTGTTTTTCTCACCATGGATCAGGTACCTCTAGTGTGTGACAAGTGGGATGTAGCACCACCAGCGATCCAGGATGAAGGGAGAAAAGGTCTGGACCAGACTGGAGATGTTTGGTCGGTGGGATTTCGGCAGCAGAGGACCCTCACCAACGGAGTTTGGAAGCTGGTCTGTGGATATCGGTTTGACGAGCGTGCATATACTACATTGTAATGGTCTGGGGCTGGTAGTCGACCGAGAATTCTGTGTGAATGTGACGAAGACCGCATTCCAAAGACTCTGCAAGCCCCCTCGACCTACCCTACCTACCTATCTAAGCCTAGAGGCATGCTGTTGGTGACTTGACTTGTACCTAGAGGTCAGTTGAGATTCAACCTAGGTTGTAGGCAAAAATCAATCTTGAGAGTCGAAACCTCTATCTAACCTGGACTCCGGGCCTCCGGCAACTTGACGCTTAGTGCTTCCGTGGATCCGATCATCCGTTATGTGCTTCCGTTGGTTGCCTCGGACAGTTGAAAATAGAGGTACCTAATTTTCGTTCTTGACATCCGGAGCATGGAGGTATCCAGAAATGGACTTGGCCTTACGTTGCGTATGTCGAGCAAGAACTTGAAAAGTTGAACTACTAGAGGTAGAGGATCTGGAAGAGACAACTACATGTACCCAAGGTTGCTGCAGACACCCGTTGAGAGATTCACTCATCCTTCCTTCAAATTATCTCTCCCCCGTTCTTACCTACCTTACGCTACCTCTACCCTCTCGCTACCTACCTACCTGGTACCTACCTCTACCTAGCGTATCTACCTTTGTCAACGAACTCTAATCACCAGCAAGCTTGAGACGCAATGCGGTGGTTAACTCTGGCGGTGGCTGCTGCCACCATCGTGACTCAGGTCACGGCAAAAGCTGTATTTGCCCACTTCATGGTATGAATTTGGTCCCATCCCAACTGGTGTACTTCAGAACAATAGAGGTATACCTACCTCTACATATATTAAGGTTGTGATTCTAACTTGGCTCTTTGAAGGTTGGCAATACGGAGAACTATACAACGAGTGACTGGCAAGAGGACATGCTTCTAGCCAAGAAGGCACACATCGACGCCTTTGCTTTGAACATGGCCCATGATGACCCGGTCAACGAGAAGTCGCTCCCAGCCGCATTTTCCGCCGCCGCAAGCGTAGGCATGCAACTTTTCTTCTCATTTGACTACGCCGGCAACGGGTTCTGGCCCAAGGAAACGGTGATCAAGTACATTACGACCTATGCTTCGAGCAGCGCCTACTATCACCACAACGGCAAGCCTTTTGTGTCGACCTTTGAAGGTCCCGAACATGCCACTGATTGGATCGACATCAAGAGCCAGACATCCTGCTTCTTCATGCCTGATTGGTCTTCTTTGGGGGCCATGAAAGCAATGGCTGCAGGAGGCGGTGTCGCTGACGGGCTCTTCTCATGGGCGGCATGGGCCTGGGGAGACTGGGACATGTACACGTACACGGATGCCTCGTACGCCCAATATCTGAACGGAAAGCCGTACATGATGCCGATTTCACCCTGGTTCTACACCAATCTACCTGGGTACAACAAGAACTGGCTCTGGCGCGGTGACCGAGCGTGGGGCGACCGTTGGATCCAGGCGCAGTGGTGGCAGCCAGAGTTCGTCCAGATCATCTCCTGGAACGATTACGGGGAGTCTCACTACATCGGTCCGGTTAGAGAACACGCCATGGCAGCTTTCGACATTGGCAGGGCACCATACAACTACGGAACGCTGCCTCACGACGCCTGGCGTGATATCCTACCGTTTGTAATCGACATGTACAAGAACAATGTGTCCAGGCTTGACTATGAGCAAGCCGTGGCCTGGTACATGTTGGTCGATCCGGCGAATTGTGACCACAACGGAACAGTCGCCAATACCGCCTCCCAACTGCAGGTCGAATTTGAACCTGAGGCGGTACTGGACCACAAAATACATTTCATTGCCTTGCTGAACGGCCCGCCAGACTCGGTCACCTGCAACGTTGGCGGTACGATCAGGGCTGGTACGGTCTATCAGGGTCCCGATGGCGATGGGGCCGGCATGTATCTAGGTGAATGCAAGATTGCCAGTGGCGGCCCAGTCAAGATCATCATCTATGGCACATCCGGTGACCCAGTCCTGACTATCTACGGCAACCAAATCCATGATGAATGTCATCTTTGGAATGGTTTCACAAACTACAACGCCTATGTGGTGGGTGCAAAAGCCCCTTCGCCCATCGAAGGTCAAGTGGCAGATATCAGTCAGGCTGTCTGTGTCAACGGAACCGGCATGCATCTTGTCAAAGACCTTTGCGAATTTACCTGCTCGTTGGGATACTGCCCCAGTACTGCCTGTGTGTGCACACGGCTGGGCAAGCCCCTTACTCTGCCAAAGGCCACAGGCGTCCAGGGATATCCCAGGGGAGACCTAGACGAGAGTGTCTCGGGGCTTTGTTCCTTTGCCTGCAACTATGGCAACTGCTCTGACTTTCACCAATATTGCGTCACTACGAAAGTCCCACTTCCAGTTCGGCCGCAATCCCTTTTCGAACCACAATATTGCACCGCTGGCTTGTCGCAGAGAGGACAAGAATACTTTGATCAGCTTTGCGACTTTAGTTGCCGTCATGGGTACTGCCCGCTCAGGGTCTGCATCTGTAGCATTGGCTGGGGATTCGCCAACATCCTCGACCCCAACACAACATCCAACGCCAAGCCTTTACCTGGCGTGCTTGACTATGGCCTGTGTAGCTTTGCCTGCCAGCGTGGTTACTGCCCAGACGACGTTTGCTACGAGGATGGTGTGTATGACGGCGATTTGATCTTTGGTGAATTCTATGACCCGATTGAGGAGTTATACACGGATTTGGAGCCCATTGAGGACCTGACCTGCGATCCTTCCAAGGTGCCGCAAACATTGGACGATCTCGTTCATGCGGCCGATACTGGATCAGTTCCTTCCGTCTGCTGGAACAGATGGGCACTCCAGATATTGATTCGTACCCTCCGAGGCCTCAAAGACGAGTATGAGGAGAGCACAAAAGGATACGATCATTTGTTCGACGTTTATCAAGACTGGGTCAAGAAGAGCGTTAGTCCGCAGTTGCAGGCCTTCGTCAATCCGGGAACTCGTACTTCGCCAGGACTCAAATACTTCGACTGTGTTCTAACATATGAAGGGCATAAGCATGAGAAGACGGCTTGTGAACATGTTGGCTTGGATATGTTACCGTCAGACGATTGGGATGTTACATTTACCTTGCGTAACGAAACGGGTTTTTATGCTGAGGTCCTGGACAAACTCGGAATAGCGAAGGAATGGATTACTTTCGGCGATGTTAAACTTCCTCGTGCGTGCAAGGATTTTGGTGGTGACGATGGAGCCCACGTCGGTGGCCAGGGTAAAAATAGCGGATGTCGGCCAGCTCGTCAGACGTTGACCAACTTCCCCATAGCTATCGACACCAAGGATGTAAGTTGAGAATTCACTCCGCCTGCATGGTTCGAGAGACAAGTACTGACATGGGTACACCTACCCACAAACAGATCTCAGTGCCAAACCCAAAAGTGGTGCTGGAGGCGGCCTTGGCAAACATGACAGCCCTCGTCGACAGTCTGCTAGTCGCGTACTTCCTGGTGGGTACCGACACTACTGAAGCTGATAGCGGAGATGTTGTCACTGCGGCCAGCATGCCCATTTTCATGCTACAACAAGCCATCGACAACATGAACGAGATCAAGAAGATGGGAGGTCACATTATCGAAGAAAACAAGAAGAAACTCATCTTGCTTATCTTGGGTATCGTCTTGATGGTC